TATCAAAAGTATGGCAAATATGACATTGTCAAAACAGACTATTTTGGGTACATATTTGAAATTAAAACAGCAGATGACGACTTAAATATTTATTTCCTAAAGAATATAAATATTTTGTATCTCGCTTCATATTTAGTGGAAAACTATTGTGTTTTTGTAAAATTTTAAATGATTTCATTCCTTTAATCCTTTACATTCAGTTGAGTTATGTTTTATCTGTTGCAGTCCTTTTATTCGGTTATTTGTTATTCAGCTATATTACATACTCGTACGTTTAATGTACCGATGTCATTCGACTTGCATCTTTTAATGATGTAGATACATGTTCTTAGGATCCTCAACAGAGTCTGTTGAGATCACTTCATCCGCTCGTCAGCATTCGAGTGAGGTCTCCTTGCTTCTGGAGGACTCCAGTTTTATGAGTTGTTAGTAGTAGTTCTTTTGAGGAGTCGTGGGTCTTGTCCTGACACTCATCTTTGTATAGTAGAGGCTTCATAGATAAACATTTTTGGAGAGTAAGTTTTCAGATATATTTATTTAAAACTTATGTTTCATACTCAGTATATTCAGCGAAGTTTTGAGATTCAATAAACTGTTTTTAAACGTTTCTTTCGATTTGATGCTTATGTATGCTCAAGTTAGTCTTCCGATTGTAGTCAACCTGAATGATGGTTTGCCTGGGGACCAACAATGGTTCTTGAGTGCCGGACACGTCCAAAGTGTAGGCTCGAATCGTGACAATATATTTGGGCCAAAACATCATCAACCTACAAAGGCTGAAATGGGACTGAGATATTGGGTCAGAGATTTGCTTTTCTTTGGGCCAAAGGCTTGACTAGATACTAGTAATTGGGCTTAGCAATTCATATCACTTATAAATAATTGCTTATACATCTATCAGATGCACCTACATAAATATATATACTTTTACTATCAAATACACTAAAATAGGGAGAGCGATAAACGAGAGAGAAGAGTGGCGAACGAGATAAACGAAAGGCAAGAGAGAGAGTTACATATATGCAAATCCACATGGATACAATGTATCTAGAACAAATTACACCTAATGTTGAGTCCATGTGAGATACATGTATGATGTATCAAAACGTATCTGGATACACCAGATACAAACTAGGATAAATCTAAGTAATTAATTCCTAAACCAGAGAGATTTCCATCATCTGCCAAGGCCACCTCAAGGGCTGCCGGTACACCTACAACAGGTGTTGGAACCTGTGGTGGCTGAACCACCGGCTCTGGAACCACTGGAATCTGATGCTGATAACCAGGGGCCTGTGCCCCTACCCCAGCCTGTAACCCCGCTGGTATACCTGCTGCACCCTGAGTAAGACGCTCCAATAACCCCAACATCCTGTCGAGTCTGTCATCATGAACTGGGGGTGCATGGCCCGCAGGAGCCTGCTCTGCAGCTACTCCAATCTGTGGCTCAGGTGAAGGCTCTCTACCTCGGCCTCGGGCAGGTGCCGCTCCTCTGGCACGGCCTCGACCACGTCCTCGGCCTCTAGCCCGACCTCTACCCCTAGCTGGGGCCTCAACTCTGACCTCGGGGGCTGCCTCCCCCCTAACTCCGGTAGCTCTAGTCCTCGGCATCTTCCAAAAACATCACGCGATACTCAGCACCCACGATAACAACCTCGCACGATAAGAACAGAATGAAAAAAAAGAAGTCTTTCCTAACAGTCTTCATAGCCTCTCGAAGATAAGTACAGACGTCTCCGTACCGATCCTCGAGACTCTACTAAGACTTGGTTTGTACATGTGAGACCTTCGAACCTGGGCTCCGATACCATTTTTGTCACACCCCAAAACCAGATGTGATGGCACGTGCCCAAACCCCACCGGACACGTCAGCCTAACACCCAAAAACCCGACGATACAGAATTTATAAACAAGAATAAGATAGAAAGATAAGCGGAAGTCTTTAAATAAACTCAACATAACCCCAGAATTGGTTGTCACATGTACAAACCTCTAATACAGAATCTGAATAAAATATACAAGTCTCATAGTAAAGTTCTAGAATAGAACAGAACAGTAAATATAGATAACTTGAGGGCACGTCTGGAATGAACCGCTACCTCTCAAGTAAGTCTGGAAGCTCTAATCTGAAGATGAGTAATAAACCGGATCTGATAGAGCTGTCAACCTACACAACTGTGTAGAAGCAAGGGTGAGTACCAAAAGCAACAGGTACTCGCAAGTAACACTAAACTAAGCTAAACTAGCAGCTACAAACAACTTCTTTCAATCCCAACCGAACCACCGAAACTTCATTCTAACAGCGAACCAACAACCTATACTACACAATTCATAATCAACAGATATATCCAACAGTATCTCAACATCAACCTCATATCCTCATATAAGAGCAAATAGATCATATATCACATGAAGAGGGGCAAATAGGTAAAATCCACACACCACAGACAAAGATGAAGTGAAATGCGATGCAAATGCAATAATGATGTCATGTAGTCGTGATGCATGTCTGTCCTAAGATACACATCTGTTGACGTAATTCAGACCGCGCTGAATACTCAAATCATAACCCATGGGGGCCACACATGGACCATGTATCACCGCCGGAACCAGATCCCATCGGCATCCAAATCGCTAGCCGGAGCTAGTCCATCTCATATATCTCTAGCCGGAGCTAGTCTCAACTGTGTCTCATATCCATCCATCCTCATATCAGTGTCTCAGAACTCATGCAACAGATAGTTCACACATGGGATGAATAATGAATATGCACATGTCATCAATCACAATCATATCACGATCACATCATAGTATTACACATCATCTGTCTCAACATCAATGTCTGTATCAATCATAGCCTACTCATGCTCTTCTATCCCCTCAATATGAGTTATCACATGACTTATTCAACAAATTCAAGTCACATATAACACATTTAGCTCGTTTTATTCCCCATCTTTCAATTACAACAATTTCAATCAACAAATAAAACTCATCCTCAATCCCCATTACTCCCCAACACAATTAGGAAAGTAGTCATGTGTAGTCTAAGAGTTTAACAAAGTTTAGAAGTCACTTGCCTCAAAACACTTCAACTAGTAACTCAAATTTGAGTTTTACCCTTCCGAGCACGCTCCAAATCACCACAATCCAATGAATTCCTTGCGAAAACCCACTTGAAATCACCTATTTTCGAGCTCTCAAAGTCTAAAAATGGAGAAATGGGTATTTTTCAAGTTAGGGGAAAATGGCTACTGGTTTTGGCTTTAAAAAAGAAAGAAACAACTGATGTTGCAGCTTTAAAAAACCACAGCAGCTGAAACAACATATAACACCAAAGTTTAAGTCCCCGTTAGACCCTCGGGATTCGTTCGGAATCTCGTGCACACAAACTGAATATGTACCCCCACTAAATTCGACGTTCCGGACTCAATGGAACCGTCGGAATTTGAATTCGAGGACTCCTTGACCCGAAATTCAATAAGATGCCAAGAAACTAGTTTAACGCCAAAAAAATTCGAAACTCAAACGGAGCGTCTAAAAATTCAACCAAGACTCATTCTAGACTTAGAATCGCCTCCCGAAACCAACGGTACTCTCGGAATTTCAATCTGAGCCTCGGAACCTCATATGTTGACCAAAGTCAACTCTTTATCACAATTTCACAACTTTAGCAACTTAGGACCTCAATTCTTCGTTTCAACTCCAAATTCAACTCCGTAACTTCACACAGACCCGTTTCGACATTCTAAAACTGCCGGAATCGACGGAAATCCGATCCGAGTCCCGAAACTCCAAATAACTCGAAAAAGCATTTTTTAACCAACTTTAACTCATAAAAACTCAACTTCTCAAAAACTCAACTTTTTACCAACTTTTCCTCAAACTAACTTTACAACCACAAAACATGGGACTCGGGGCAACTACCGAAAGGGCAAAATAGTCATTTCCATGAAAATTACCAAAATGACCTTTCGGGTCATTACATTCAAATTCACAACAAAAATAATTCTATCAAAATCTAACAAAGGAGTTAAAGAAAACATGATAAAAATTTCCAAAAAAATAGTCATGTCAATTACAGTATTATTTTTGCTTAATATGTGTGTCAAGTCCAAATATGACAAATAAAAACAAATCGATAGAGTATTTAACAACAACTGCAATAATTTAGAGCATGCCCAAGTAATTAAAAACGTTCAAATATATTCTTAAATAATTTTAAAAGGTCCAAGTATACCCCTACGTCTATGTTGGTGTCTGAATATAGTTATTGAATTAATAGTTAAGAACACAATTGAACTATCTTTTTCACATTTCAACTATGAACTTTTTCGTTTTTCTTATCTGAACTATCACAATCTATGTACTAAAATATATATCAACATTGATAATTATCAGTTATTTCTTTTTCTTATCTTAATTATCACCATCTATATTAAAACACACATCAATACTAACTTTAAGTTACTTCTTTTTAATTTTATTATAATTGAAAATTCCTTCATAACTAAGCAATGTGATAACCTTACCAATGCCATTCAACACATAGTACTTGACTTGTTATTCATTTTTCTGCAACGGATTCCCGAAATTAAGGAAAGAAAAGTGTAAGTTTTCTTTTTTTTTAAAATGGATTAATTTTTCAAAATTTATTTGTATCACATAAAATATTTTGGCTTATTACATTTAATAATGGATTTATTTATGGTGGTTTTGGTATGTGCATACTGCAGAGCTATAAATACTCTCCCCCAATTGTATATATTTGTTCTCTATTCTCACCGCCGCATCTCCACCCCTCCGCTTCATTCCTCCTCCGATTATCGTCGTAACTCCACCGTTCAACCACTATCTAACTACAAAAAAGTTTTGTCACTCAAGGAATAATTGTGGGCTAACAGATCTGTTGAATTCAGAAACTAAAAGCAAAGGTGTGTTTGATTTTGTTGATATCTCATCTCATTTGCTTTTCAATTTTCTGTGTTGGTGGAATTAGTATGGATTTTTCTGAAGAATCATTAAGAGAGATTCTACTGAGTTTACCTGTGAAATCGTTGTTAAGATTCAAATGTGTGTGCAAAAATTGGGGCAATCTTATCAATAACCGTAGCTTCACTATAGACCACTGTAATAAGAAGAAGCCTCCGCAACACTTGATTTATGATTATGGTGCAACCGATGATGCTCCTACTGTCACTTTGGTTTCCGATAAGGGTATAGATGAACAAAAAAATTTTCAAAGATTTGGAGATAATATTACCAACTTGTTAGGTTCTATTGATGGTGTGTTTTTCATAGAAAGACAAATTGATAATGCCATTTTGTGTACATTATGGAATCCAGCTAACAGAGAGGTGAGACACCTCCCTGCCGCAACAATTGATTTTATACCTTATAATAAACACTATCGTCATTTAGTGTTCGGATTAGAGCCTATGACTAAGGATTATAAAGTGCTTTACTATGATCCTTTGAAAGAATATGCAGCGGTCTACTCAGGTTGTAGGGATTCATGGAGAATATTCAAACATAACCTAGACGTAGACGTAGATGAAAATAATATATTTGAAATAAACAGTTTAAAAACTACTGATTATCTGAATGGATATTACTATTGGCTGGTAAGGGAGAATAATAAATGTAGAATTGTTTCATTTGACTTTGGGAATGAGGTGTTTGTAGATATGGAAGGGCCACCAGCTGGTCACGAGGATTATCATTGGTTGGCAAGTCTGATGTTGCTTGGTGACTCCCTTGGCATCTTGAACTTTGTCGACGGGTTTGTTCATGATGTATGGGTAATGATACAACCAGGCGTTTGGAACAAACTTGTGACCATTCATCTCACTACGCGCATTAAGTCATATTATGACAACTCTATCATTTTGGTAACTAGAAGTTCCCGACTGGTCTCATATAATGTTAGGACAAACAAGACTAGGCTTTTTGAATTTCGTCATCATGGCCTGCATTCTAATCGAGATATTGGTGGTTGTGAGGTTTACTATTATAAAGAGAGCTTAGTAACAATTAAACGACAAGGGAATAGTGAGCTCCATCTCAATCGTTGTATGACAAGGGCCACATATTAAATTTCAATAAGAGCTTAGAGCATATTGGATAACATTTACAGGTTTTTTAAAATTTATTTATGGTTCATTCTACCTTGTAACCTAATATTTAATTAGGTGCAATATGAGAGTATTTTTGTTTGTACTCTATAAGTTGTTGGTGATTGTGAGCATTTTAATATTATTATTTTTTATTAAAGTGGCTCATCCTAAGTATCTTTTAATGAATGTTGCATTGTGCTGCATCTGTTATTGACATTGTTAGATATAAAATGTTCCTTATAGCTCTTGCATTGTTAATGTTAAGATAGTCGTCGAGGCAGCTGAAAAGAGAAGTAAA